TTATTCGGATGACAGTAGCAAAACAAGTGGGACTGAAATTTTAGCTTTGGCTGGGCATTCAGACCGGTCATACCAGCATACCAGCTGGGTGCGACTGAAAAGAGCTCACATGTTGGTCTTGAGGCGTCTGTTCTAGGCAAAACGAGACAACAAGTCACGTGATCACTGGGTTGAGCGACGACGCATATAATGTGAAGCCAGACAGATCATTTAACTGCTAGATCTGATCTGTGCTCAGGGTGTAGCCATCCAGGACAGAGTGTAGACACTGAGTACGAATGACTAATCTCAATTGAATCGCCAGAATAGTGTAGTTGGCGTTTGAGGTCTATTAGAACGGTCGCTGATGTTGAATAAATCAACCAACGTTTCTCCACCGGACAAAATTCAGGGTTGGTCAACCTCAGCTGCAGACCGCTCAGTGAAAATCTGTAAAAATTCAGCATGCACTGTTGTTGGCTGTTCAGCAAAAACTGAGCGGATTTCCTTGGCGTCTAATTAGCAAGCAAGGGCACCGAAGAGCATTGCCCGCTGCTCAGAGCTCGCTTGGATGATTGTATGAATAGTAGAGCAATAGTGCCCCTGTGACACACATCCAAGCGAATGGGGCTTCATCTTTTCTGATTGTTAAGTTGTACCGGGTTCGCCAGACTAAGCTGAAACTAAATGCGTTCAGACATGCTAATAATGTAGAGAAACAAATTCAGCCGGCAAAAACGATACTTGCAGTTTCGATTCATAACAGAACCTGTACCGAAACAAAAAATTCGCACCACTATCGTCCGAACAGTCATCCTTCTTTAAGAGCGTAATTCTTCTACCGAAAGGAAAAGCACTGGAGTCGAGTTTCGCCCCACCAGCAATGCAAAGCCCTTGCCGTGCCGGCACTTTTAACTCCAACGAGCGAGGCAAGCGTGTGATCACTACTCCACCAGCGCACGCAGGACGAAACTGAGTTATCACCTGAGTTCACCTATTCAGACCTGGCTGACTTGAGACGAAAACGAAGTTTTAGGTGTTATTTTCACTGTCGAAAAAAACTCCACAGAATGCGGCTAACCGACAGAGTCATATTCATTCTGGTTTGTGCCACCAAGGGAATCCAGACTGGATGTTTGTGCTATTGGGTTGCGAGTTTGGCATAAATTACACGGCAAAATGCCTGAATTCTCAATGAAATATCAACAAGAAGGACCAAGATACAGGAGTTGCATCCATTTTAACTGAGAGTGAAACCAAACACTTTCATCATAATCCGTCTCTGTTCAAACACGCGTTCAGGTAATCGGTTCAGCCGATTGGATAATGACTGAGTGGGTGGAAGTCAATGACAAAGGAGAACAAATGTTTTTTTTCGAACAACTGACGCCTGAGACTCGCCCCAGATAACTCTTTACCAATAAGAAGGCCATTATTCGATAATTTTCCGACCATTAGTGGAATACTATTTTGCACATTGATTGAGTAATGGGTTCGAACTTGCGCAAAGGGAAACTACTCACAAGGTTGCTGAAAACTCTTCGACAAACTTGCTTCCTCTGAGCAGTTGAAAATAGCCTCAACCGAACGTAAAGGACGAATCGAAAGTCTGTCACCACTGGAAACGAAAACTTCGAAAATGAGAAAGTAATTCATATGGCTTCCGGAAGTGGGCTACTCTTCCTGTACGGTAATACGTGATAAACGGCCACAATACAGGTAGATGAAACGGAACTCTGTGAATGCTCCGCACTTGACTCAAGGCGAATAAGTATCAAAATCCTTGTTCAGACTAAATGCTTTCATATTTGTGCTCATGCATGGTGACATTATATATATATATATATGTATACATCGGCCATGTTATAAAAAACTCGTTCAGCCGTAGCACTCTTTCGATGCCTAGCTACCAGGCCACCCGAAGGAAGCACGAGGGCTTGGATATTGGCAGGTTGCCCAAGCCTAGACAGGGGAAGTCGAGAGTCAGATGTCTGTACGGACCTTCCGGTCAGTAAATTCGCGCTCTAACCACTGAGCCATCTTGCGCATCTCTGCCATACTGTGGTAAACAAATATATATATGTATATATGCTGGTCATACTGTGATATACAGCTCTCCGATGGCCAGGTAAGTGTGTGATAAAAGTTCTAAGGGCAATTATTAGGAGAGAACTTCATACTTACTTAGGCAATACACAATGCCTCAGTTTGCTCTCACAATTCCAATAACAAGATTAATACCATCGGCCGCTGTTTATTTTCATTGACTTCCGCCAGTCACAGCATCTGTATTGATCAGTTCAAGGAAATGCAATCAAAGAGTTGTTTTCTTGAGGCATCTTTTGGTGAGATTAAACAGAATTCTAGGATGATGAGGTTGGAGAATTCCTGGTTTCCAAAATCGACCCAGCGCCCTGGCTTAGTTGCTCATCTTAGTCCCCAACCGAATAGAGGAAACCGTGAACTCCAGTTCTGCTCCTTTTTACAGCCAATCCTTAGCCACGTGAGAATCCAAAGTTGGACGAGAGTGTACCCTTTAACTACTCCATCGGCTTACTGTGAACGCACCTGAACAAACGAAAAAGCTCACGTTTGAGCAGTTTGATTGATTTGCTCGACACCTCTAACAATAACACAGCCATGTTCGACAGACCGATTTGTAAGGAATTTCTAGTCAGCTAGTGTGACGGAAGCTTGAAGCCCTTTGGAAATCTTTTACAATCAGCTTCAATATTCCCAAGTTCACCTATAAAAACTATTCAGTCATCACACAGGACCTCAATTTAACTACCCTATTAGACAGTATCATATCAGAGTGGCGGAGAATGACTTGCTCCTGAGAATAATTTGACCGTAGTTTCAACTTTGCGCACATTGAACTTGCTTAGCCTACACATGGGGTTGAAGGTCTACCTTTTCCACCATTGAGAGTCTGGAAGCTGGAGTTTTATTGTCAACATGACCCGAATTGACGCGGAAGACCCATCGTTGTCCAAAGGTCACTTTGTAGTCTTCTCTCGAAAGTACACCATTATTGGTTTGAAAGATTGAGCCAAAACTATGACCTCTCCATTAGAAAAGTTAAGGTCGCAAAGTAAACCCTCAGGTTCGTAGCGAATAAAACCCCGGGTCCACAAGTTTAGCAGAAGCACGAAGGATAGTGAAAGTTTGGCGTTTCCACCACCTGAATACTCGTATTTGACGACATCGAGGTCAAACTTGGTGGGTAAGCTTTGAAACTGCAAAAATCTTCTCGGTCACAGGACGAGTGACCAACTAGCAATGAACAGAGAAGCCATGCAATTTGCAATCAAGCGGGAGTCCAAGTGAGAATGCGATTGTTGCGCGAATTTTAAAAGCCCCTTGGCGTAAATTCCCCATTTCACGACCCGGAAAGCCCCGAAAGTGTAGATTCATCGATGGCATACTTGCCAACATCGGCGCCAGGTTTGCGACACAAAACGACTGGTCAACTTTCCTGCAGCTTTTGGATGATGAACATCGTTCAACATAAACGTCATAAACCTCGGGCAGCTAATAAATTGCTCCTAAGAAGCCTATTGGTATCTCTAACAAAAGGTCAAGCCTTCCAAGCTTTGCTCAAGGTCAAATGAGATGGAAAGAATGAGCGATTCCAGGGTCGAAGCTTGTATCGTTCAACAATTGCGCAGTTTCCGTTCGTCCTCGGATTCCACACCTTTTGGGGAGATCAATACGGTTTGCTTTACACTCACTGGCGATACGCATACATGAAGTTTTGCTCAACACCCTCCCTAATCAAAATCAGCAATGGAGACACTTTGCTCAGTATTCTGACTAGGCGGTTCACGTTGATCAATCCACGCTTGGTCCTCCTGTGCCAGAAACCATCTGAGGAGCGAGATGCACCAAGTGGTTAGAGCGCGAACTGACCGGAAGGTCCGTGGTTCGAACCTGACCTCTGCCCCTCGACTTCCCCTGTCTAGGCTTGGGCAACCTGGCAGTATCCCAGCCCTCGTGCCTCCTCCGTGTGGCATGGCAGCTAGGCACTGAAAGGGTGCTACAGCTGAACGAATTAAATAAAATAAGAGACCATCTGACATATAAGGTAACAGTTCACTGCACACATATACCGCGTACTGTGAAACATTTTGGTTCACAACACTTTACGTGGGACGTTCGAACAAACTACCTCATCCACAGCAAACAAGTCTCTCATGAATGTATCGATTAGCATTCCTCTTCTGACAGCAGACGCAACCCCAGACAGATAAATCGATAGCGGGCAAATTAGACCAGTGTTGGATGGGTCTCCCCCAAGTTAGGCTAAAATTTAGGAATGCAAGACTAATCAACAATCACAGGAAGGTGACATAAGATAAGGCGGAGCACACACCAATGCGCATACGATTAGCCGTCCAGCCCTACTGTCTTCCAAGCCATGTGTTCCTGTGAGGACATCACGACAAAGTACGATCGCACGCTACGCATTTATTCTCAGGTCAAACAACACGCTCACTAACAGAGAGTTGATCACATTGAACGTTTCATCATCCTCGTCATCGCTGACAGCGTTGAATTGCCATACAACAATGATAGAAGAGAGCCCCGATAAAGGGTGGAAAGTGGAAGCTTTGAGGCTAATCCCTGTTTACTTAGGGAAAGCGATCAAACATTGCACGCTCACAACCTTGGACCACGTTAAAACAAACACAACATATTGAATTTCGGTGACATCAGTGGGGTCTAGCCAGGCTCCTTTACGAACCTCACGTGACCCAGGACTCAGGACATAATTACAGACTCCACTAATTAGTGTGTCTTATGTATCCCAATCACTCTGTTCACAAATTTGGCTCTGTTAAACAGACAGTCAAGCCTGAAACGTCAAACAAATTTAGGTTTCAACAAGTCAAACAAGTGTGTTTGGGCCAAATGAAAAGAAAATTTCATCAGTGTAGCAATCCCAATGCGTGAAATAGAGTGATGTAAATACTGACGAGTTACAAGGTATGGAGAAAGCACGCATCAATGTGACTCACCACACATCAGCAACATTAATCGTGGGCCAAGATCACGGGCGGGATTCAGGGCGCATCCAGCATTCATCGCGAAACACCCAACCAACGTGTAGACCAACAGACCCAAGTAGAGAGGGTGTAGATAGCTTGGCATTTTCCAACCCTTATAGTCCACAACTGCAAGCGCTCCAGCTGACAGCAGTGCAGTGCCAATCACTTGATCAATAAAGCATGTTGTATGACTGGCCCAGGGATTAGTCACAAAAATGTTGCCTGTCGTATCGACCAGATATAAGCCTTCATCCACCGTGTTGACGCGCTCAATTATCTTCTCTCTGTAGATAACGTAAACAGTTGCTGCGCCGACATACGCTCCCAGTACTTGGCTGATTGTGTAGAACGGGATTCGCTTCAGTGGGACTTTACCTATCAGTGCAAATGCAAGTGTGATAGCTGGATTAATGTTTCCGGAGCCAGTGATCCCGGAGAAGAATACGCCGAATGTAACCGCCATACCCCAGCCAAGACTCACTGAGAGAAATCCACCGTGGGATTTTTTCCCATGATCACCAAGAAAAACCTGGGCCAAAACACCGCACCCGAAAATGATGAGAATGGCCGTTCCGCAAAATTCTGCAATGCACGCGCGGATAAGGGGACATGAGCGCAAACGAATTTTGTCTGCCAGGGTTCGAAGACCTCTTCGAAATCGGGTTTCGCATTCCAAACTCATTTCCACCAGACAGGACACCCCACAGTGATCTGATACCACTATATGTTGTCCACAGTCGACAAGGTAGGTTAAATATGTCCGCAATTTGTCATGAGATGCAATGGTGCATTTTAGGCAACAAGCAAACGCAGTCAAGCTAAGGCCATCCTATTGGCCTAGGTAACCGCTGAATTCTGATTGGCCGGTGAACACAACCAATCGAAATGATGCATACAATGGGTCAGGAATATGCATTAAGATATTGATAACTGTTTACGGTGTTTAAACACTCAACATTTGAGAAAACAAACATAAATTAGACAACGAAAGCAAACTGAGTTGATCTAATTTCTAACTGCACAAGAATGAGAGAATGATGAAGTCAGCTGATGCAGCAGTTACGTAGGAATGGCAATAATTCGGATGTGCTGCGTGGTGATACGATGCTTACAGATTGAAAGAAAAGTCGATCCGTGGAATACAATCCACAAGCATTTCACATCAGATGTAGGTCTTGTTCAATTGTTCTTTAGTGCATTCTTACTGGACTTACCAAGTTAAATAAAGATACACAGTTTTCCGTTCAAGGGGCGTGCGCACCATTGAGCGCAGATGACCGTCACACTGTTCAAAATCTGGTAACCAAGGTAACCTCCAAACACAGGCCCTAAATGTGGGTTAACTAGTGGAAACCTGAACACTTTAGTATCGGAGCAACACAAAGCCTATCTGATTCGTCTGAATGTATCTAAGACGAAACAGCACGCACAGAACTTCACAGAACCTAGTGTACCAGGTCTCAGATGCAAGTATATTGGTACGTGACTGTCAGGAACCCGTGCGTTAGCAGATTGCACACACACAACCTCACAAAGATCACTTCAGCGAACTCAGTATACGTCTGAACAGACCAAAACTATACGGTAATTAGACCCCTCCCTCTATACTCAGTAGTGCAGACCTTTGAGAACAGGCACTTGTGATATTTAGAACCTAAGTTGTCACATCAGAATCTCAAGTCTGACTCTTCTGTAGAACGAACTTCCTCGGTGCAGAGGACCTCTCTTCTTCATCAGCCAATCACAAACCTCCGTGGAACTAATCCTGCTAAACGATTTCTAGACGTAGCCTTATACGCTGTGCACTCAGCCACAGAGTTACTCGGTTTTAAATTTTTAACCCATTTCTGGGGTTGGTATTCTAAAAAAACGTAGCACGGAACTGGTATGCTAAACCAGAGTTGCTTGGTCTTTCGAAGGCAATCAATTTACTCTGAGCGTCTTCTAGAAATATGGGAAAATCTGGGCTCAAGTATACAAGTAGTCCGACTACCGGTGAAACCAGCAAAAAGGTTTAACGAAAATAGCCTTATATTAGTGATCGAAAAGAACTCCGCCGCGACGAAAGTCCTTGCAGCGGAGTTTGACACTTCGACTGACCTCCAGGAGGCTATGAGGCGGTCCGTGACGGCCAGGATGGCACCTGGATCTGACCCAAACGTGTTATTCGGCAGCCTGCAGCAGTCGTTGAATCGGACTTTGCCGGGACTGGACCGAGTGTCACGCTGGTATTTGCTGCCTGACCAGTTCATCGGAGGAGCGCAGCCCGCGCTTGGTGCCAGCTGCGGTTGGCGAGGGCGACTGGCCAGTTGCGTGTGGAGGAGCTGGCACATCTGGCACGGGAATCGGCCGAGGCACCACTGGCCACTTTGCAGTCGCAGGAGAACAAAGATGGTTCAACAGAGGACAAACTGCAGACCAGAGTGGACCAACTCGCGGAACAGCTTGCAGCCATGAAGACGGAATCGCGAAGGTGCACTCTAAAGAGCCCGTGCTACAAGTGTGGCAGGTCTGGCCATTGGAAGAATCAATGCCGTCGTACTCGAACACCTGTACATCATAAAAATTTGGATTACTTCTCTTTTCTCGAATGGGTTGCGATTACCGTCTGATACAGGCCGCCATACAAGCCGTTACCGAGATAGAAGGGAAGAGGGAGTTGTGTTTGATTGATACAGGAGCTGGGATATCGCTGAGGCGGAGAGGGAACCAAGCTGAATGCAAAACGTGCGCACTAGCCGTGAGGGCAGTGGGTGGCTATCGACTGAAGATTGACGAATTGTCAATGCATTCGACACGCCCAGGGCGACAAGTCCGTGCAGCACGCGTTCCTGATCAGCCCAGACGTAGAGCAGACAATATTGGGGGCAGATTTACTCAAGGGCACAGATTCCGTGATTGACCTAAAGCAGGGAAAGCTGGTGTCAAGGTATGGCGTAATCGAGCTTGAAGGTTAAACGGACGCTGCCACGAGTGAGCTGCAACAAAGCAACTTTATATGTACAGATTAGCTAATCTGATTGCAGGCGGCACTGTGACAACAATGACTTTGGAGTGATATTGTGACACAGCGTAATTATTTGTATATCCGACCGTAAACGAAGACTACTAAAATTAGTAGTTCATCGCACGAAGACGGTTAACGGATCGATGTTTATTTTTTTGTGTCTAACAAAATCTGGTTGAAAATCTGCAGGGACGTTGACCAACCATGCCGGTTAAAGCAACAAAAAACACGATCCCGCTCAGTCTGGTAGCTTAAAAACAAGTGTTGCGGTGAGCTCCCTCAACTCAAGGTCATATGTGCTAGGCCTCGTTCGAGAGAAGCTGCACCTCGTATTACACAAATTTTTATGAATAGTTGAACTTTTACCCGCAGTAGGGTATATGCATAATTCCCTAGGAGTAGCCGCTGATCATAAAAGAAGCATGAAACGTGTTGCGGGCAAACCTTCTTTGGACCAATTGAAACAGACTCACGGACTCAACGTTCATTCCTGGATCAACCTCGTGTTACTGAATAGTTTGTATGCTTTTTCGGCTGAATAAAAGTGGAAACCAGATAAAAACTAAGCCAAATTCAATCCGAATGACAGGGAGAGTAGCGACCCAAGTAAAAATGGGACAACTGAGGCGTTTTTCAAGGAATTGCTCTCAATCTCAACGCCAACAGTTTCCGTGGAACTTGAATGAGAAAATCATAGTTCTCCTGTGTGCTCAAAACATTCCTCTACTGAATGACTGCATAATCGGATCACTGATCCGTTCATAGTTTGCTACATTCATCAACCGCGTCTAACTTACCTGTGAGCTGAGGGCTATTCTGAACAGTTTAGAAACCTCACTCAACAAATGCTGAGACCAACCTGTGACTCAACGTGAACCGCCTTCTAATTGCACGTACTTGCAGCCAATCGATTTTCCAAACGAGGTACTAGTGCAACCGTTCATTTTTAGACAGAACTACAGTGCGTTAGCCTTTTTTTGGAACATGGATCATGTTTCCGAACCGTCGATGATGTATCGGTCTCTAGCGCGGTGTTCTGCCCAGAGCACACAATTCCTTAACACTTAAAAAAACATTCAGTACGTTTCCTCAACTGTTACACCTTCAAGACAGGGGATACACTAACAGAGAATAACGTATTCGTCCAAGCGCTTAGTTCCGTTTCTACGCAGATGGGAGTCTAAACTGTGTTGCGGGAGGATGGATATCGAAGAGGTGTTGGAGACAACAGGAAAATTCTTCAGTAATTTACTCCATGGGCTACGGGAAAATTACTGACGCTAGGTTCCGTCCAGTTACTGCGCCTCCAACAAAACCATGCGCAGCTCAGTGAATGGACAGTAGCATCCACTGAACGAAGTCCCTGAGAATGTGCCTCGCGTGAGAGACCTTTCAAGGCCCGGCATCTCCAAGGTTGAAATGTCTCTAACACCGAAGCACAAGGAGCTCACCAGTTTGTCAACCAACCGTATCGATTAGTTTGTTCTTATGACGAGAGGTTGGATACTGTACCTACCTGATGAGCATCAACAATGGATAAACTAGTCGTCATCTGTCGAAGGGTTTTTAGTAGTCTTATTAGTAGTATGTGATGTCTACACATCCTTTATCGTTATTTACTCGTGAGCGCTTGTTTTTCCCGACGCATTGTTTACTCGATCAATAATCCAAGCGCTTTTAGCGAAGGATGAAAACTCTTTGTCACTATGGTGACTTTAAACAGCAAATGTTCATCGATTCAAATCGAGTGTTCGACTAAAATGTTTCCCGCTCATTTGAGTTAAAACTGGAGTGTCCGAGAATTCGTCCGAATCTCAGCAAACCGTCCGGTGTTACTGGATGTATTCCTTATCGAACGCCTTCAACACATGAGACATTTCAAGTAACGTGTGTTCCCATGTATTTATGACGGTGAGCAGAGATGGCGGTACCGGTGCTGTACGGCTTTCTAGTACATCTCTTAAATTCGCAAACCAGTGATTTAAGAACTCAGAGAATGTTTTCGAGAGAAAGGCAAACCCGTAGAGATATATGTACTGAGGGAAACCTGGTGGGGTGAGTTTGAGCACCTCAAAATCATAGAATTGTGCAAAAATCAAACTCGTTTGAGTAGGGTCCTGGAGCACCCGTTAAAACGGGGGATTAAACATCTCGTGATATCCAGCTTCGTGGACACCAAGGTTCGTGGGTTCTTTGTTCAATTTACTGCGTGTGAATGTGATAAGGCAGTAGCTCATGTGTTGAACCAAAACAATTTTTAGCGATAACTTGGTAGTCACTTTGCACAAGACCGAGGATCTCCCTGAAGATCATTCACCTGTTGTATAAATTTTTGAACACACAGTTCAGATCCAGGTATCCGACAAGCCTCCAGCTAATGCCGCGCTTAGTCCGCCATATTAAAGGCTCGTCATGAACAAATGTTGATTGCATACCTCACTGTGCTAATTAGACTGGGAAGGCAGGAAACACCTTAAACCTTTAGCAGGCAAATTTCCGTGAACAAATCCAGTATACTCCAATTCGTTCAGCTGTAGCACCCTTTCGGTACCTAGCTGCCATGCCAGATAAAGGAGGTACGAGGACTGGGATACGTCAGGTCGCCCAAGCCTAGACAGGGGAGTTGAGAGGCAAATGTCGGGTTCGAACCACGGAACTTCCGGTCAGTACATTCGCGCTTTAACCACTTGGTCCATCCCCCCTGTACTTCAGTTGTTGCCTGGTCGATCGCTAACAGGTAGAGACTTCGTAAAATA